ATTACATAAAAATCTTATAAGAAATAAAACCTTAAACTATTTTTTTGTTTTGTTTAAAAAAACCAAATATCTTAAGTAAATTGTGTGCAAATATTATGCGTGTTGTGTGGTGAGTTATTGTCCCATATTTTGTTTAAAGATATGGGACAATTACCAAGTCTTTTCAAAATTGCTTAAACAAATGTAATGTAAATATCAATGAGAGGGGGAGGGGGGGGGGGGGGGGGGGGTTCTGAAGATTCCCCCTCTCACCTCTATTGTGATGGCAGTTCTACTACTTCACCTCTTCTATTCTTTGTGCATTTAGTTGAGCGTTAGTTGTTGCATTGGTGGCTGCCGACTTGAGCAGACTTAAGGAAGATGTTTCAGCTAAGGAAACTGAGGTGCCCGTGGGCAATTGATGGACCATTCTTGATGATGAGGACGATGATGCTGGCGGTGGTGGCGGTGAGGGTGATGGTGAGATTACAATTTCATTTTTTATTTCAATATCTGTGGGAAGTTTAAGTTCCTGCTGAAGATTTTCTTTTTCTTGCTGCTGATGCTGCTGCTGTGTGGTGTTTTGAAAGCACTCCTCCGTGTTGTTGTCACCACCACCATTGTTGTTAATCATAATACTTAGAGCTGGATTGGAAGACTGTAGCTGACTTATCAATGGCTGTGATGCTGCAGCAGAGCTGGGATTACCATTAACATTGCCAAAGTTGGTCGGCTGAATTTCATCGGCCGCAGCGGCACTAATCAAATAATTCAAGGGATTAAAATTCTGTATCTCCTTGGCCATAAACGAGGCATGGGTCATTTTCATGTGATTCTTCATTTTGTCGGGCCTTGAAAACTCCTTGCCACACAATGGACAGGGAAATACTTTACGGTGTTTGCCCTCGTGATAGAGGAAGGCATGGCGCTGGAAACTGTATTTATTCTTGAAAGTCTTTTGCATGTTTTCCTTGGCACATTCGGTACACTGGTACACACCCTCGGTGACACTGGCATAACGGAATAGATCCAGACCTCGTACAGACATTTCAGTCAGCTGTTCGGCCTGATCGTCTATGGAGGATTGAGCTTTACGTCTCACCCGGCGACGTTGTATGGGCTTTCCGTTTGAATTTTTGCTACGTGGTGTACTGCTATGGTGGTGACCTGACATGGTCGACTGATTCATGGAATTGTTATATGAGCTATCCATGTTTTCGTTATTCTCTCCCTGGGCGCCACCCATTCCCTCATTGCCTGTACTGTAGTCCAGGCCGGCATTTTCATCGGCCAATGTCAACATTTCCGGGTCGGATTTATCACTTTGATCCATTAGCAGATCTATGTTATTTTCATCTTCCCTTAAGAGAAGGGCATTTTGGTGTTGTTGGAAGAAATCTCCACCAGATTTCATAATTGGATTGGCAGCCATGTGCAAGAGGAATTGATGATGTAAATTATTGGCCGATGGTGGTTGTATACTGTTGTTTTGGGCTGCCTGGCGTTCGGCAGCATTGGCCAATGATTGTAGGGCTGAGCAGGCTTCTTGAGTGTCCATGTGAGTGGAAGATACCAGATCATTGGAGGAAGTTGCTTGTTGGTTATTTGTGTTGTTGTTGTTGGCCAAGGTTACATCAATCAGATCTTTGAGACCGGCCCGTAGTTGTTGCTTCAGCAATGAATTGGGATTTGTTGAAGTGGCTGTGGACTGTGAGGACGAAGTTATGGCCATGGTATTGTTTTGTTGTGACTGTGACGTTGGATTTTGCAATTCTTGTTGTTGTCCGGTGTTCTTTAATTTCAACCCCAATATGGTGGGCAAGTGTACATTTATATTATCATTGAATTCAATTGCCTGCAAGGACGATGAAGCTGATGAAGTTTGTTGTGCCCGAGGAGTGGGTGCCACTAAAGAAATCATGGAAGCATTGCTGGTCACAATACTATTGTTGGTATTTGTTGGGGTTGCGGCACTGTTGTTGCTGCTGCTGCTTGTAATGCCAAAAAGTCTTTGTGACAATTCTGGACTACTGGTAACCAGGTGAACTAAAAAAATATAAAAAAATAAGAAATTAATTATTTTTCTGGTTTTGTTTAATTTTTGAGAAATATATTGACAATAATAAGAACAAAGTGGACAATTTTGAAGTGAAATGGCGTACTTTTTGAATCTAGAATAAATTTCATGCATTTTTGGTAATTCACCTCGGTGTGGTGAGTTTGTATGGAAATTCACCACACCTAGAATTTAATGTGATTCGAATATTTTTCATTATTACATTCTAATAAAATCAATATTTTTAATATTGTATGGTTAATCAGAGCTAAAATGTCAAAAATTTAAAAAAAGGAAATTTTTAAAGAAAATTTATTTGTTTTTTTTTAATTTTTGGGATATATTGTGTCCAAAATGTAATTTTGAAGTGAAATGGCGTAAATTTTGAATGTAGAATAAATTTCATACATTTTGGGAAATTCACCTCGGTGTGGTGAGTTTGTATGGAAATTCACCACACCTAATATTTAATGCTATTCAAATATTTTTCATTGTTACATTCAGTAAAAACCAAAATTTTTAACATTGTATGGTTTTCCAAGGCTAAAATGGCGAAAAACTAAAAAAGGAAACTTTTAAACAAAAGATTTAATTTATTTTTGGAATATTTTGCCTCCACAATATAATTTTGAAATGAGGCAAATTTTAAATGTTCAATAAATTATACGCATTTTTGAAAATTCACCACGATGTGTTGAGTTTTTTTTGGAAATTCACCACACCTAAAATGTAATGGAATTCGAATATTTTTCATTGTTACATTCAATAAAAACCAAAATTTTTAACATTGTATGGTTTACCAGAGCTAAAATGGCGGAAACTTAAAAAAGGAAACTTTTAAGGAAAAGCATTTAATTTATTTTCAAAATGTTTTTTTGGAATATTTTGCCTCTTAAAAGCACACCACACCTAGAATTTAATGCGATTCGAATATTTGTCACTATTACATTCTATAAAAATCATTACTTTTAACATTTATGGTTAGTCGGGGCTAAAATGGCGAGAATTTAAAAGAGGTAATTTTTAAAAAAGAAAACGTTTTTTTTTTTTAATTTTTAGGTATATTTTGACTCTAAAATGCAATTTTGATGTGAATTGGCGTTAATTTTGAATGTACAACAAATTATATGCATTTTTGTTAATTCACCTCGGTGTGGTGAGTTTTTTGGGATATTCACCACATCTAAAATTTGATACGATTCGAATATTTTTCATTATTACATTCTATAAAAATCATTATTTTTAACATTGTATGGTTAATCCCGGCTAAAATGGCGAGAATTTGAAAGAGATAATTTTTAAAAAAGAAAATTTATTTTTTTGACTCTAAAATGTAATTTTGATGTGAAATGGTGTTAATTTTGAATGCACAACAAATTATATGCATTTTTGTTAATTCACCTCGGTGTGGTGAGTTTTTTGGGAAATTCACCACACCTAAAATTTGATGCGATTCGAATATTTTTCATTATTTCGTTCTATAAAAATCATTATTTTTAACATTGTATGGTTAACCAGGGTTAAATTATTATGGAAAATCACTTTTGCATAGATTGCAGTTGAAATTGTTCTCAATATTCATATTTTTGCGGGCATTTTTGTGAGATGGCGATGCTTTGTTAAGGATATAAAGCTCTTATCAGTAAATATATACAATATTCTTGAAACAGAGGGTATTTACTGTATTTTTTCAGGTTCACCGCGGTATGGTGAGTTTCTTTGAAAATTCACCATGCCCTAAATTTCATGGTTTTCGAACATCTGCCTTAAATTTGTACGTATTTAAATGTCTACTTTGAATATTGTATGATAAAAAATGTATGATTGAGCATTTAAATCGGGAATTTGATATGAATTCCAAAAAATAATAATTTTTTTTTCTCATTTTTATAAATTTTATGAAAGACTCATCATCTTTCTGAATAGAATTTAAAGTACACCAATTAACTTAGTATCCCCAGAGCAGAGTTAATATTTCTTTTCTTACATAAAAAGTAAATAATTTTTCTCACCAAAAAAAATATTGACAAATTCTAAATTAATGAAATTAATACTAAAAAAGTATATCGCGTCATTTTTTAATGAAATATTGTGTTTTCTTGTAAAAACGTTAAAAGTTAAACATTTTCCCCCATTTACCTCGGTGTGGTGAATTCCAGATGAAATTCACCACCTTTATTTTGGCTCATTAAAATGTATTTTATACTTTTTTAGCATAGACAATGATTCTCATTGATATTTTTGTTCAAAATTTTCATAAAAATTTCTAAAAAATACTTCGAATTTGAATTTTTTAAAAAATATGTAATCATAAAATTAGAAAAATATATATTTTTTAAATACAAAAAAATATATATAGAAATATTTTTGTCCGTAAGAATGTTAATACAAAACGTTATAGAAATCTACATAGTAGTGGTGAGTTCAATATGAAACTCACCACAATATTATTTTTGTTGATTTCAATAGTTTTTAAAACTTTTGCAGGATAAACACAAACCGAAAATGTGTACACTTTTTATTTTTATGCTGTAAAAAATTAAAATCTATTAAAAACAAAAAAAAATAAAACTTAATTTTCACCAGTTTTATTTATTTGCCCTAAAAATAAATAAAAAACCAAAATATTGTTTTTTTTTGTGTGTGTTGATTGTTTAATTTTTGTTTGTATTTCTCTCTTTGTAATAATAATTAATTAATTAATTGATTTATTTAAATTATGCTTTTTAATTATAATAATTAATTGTTTTCGTTTGCAGTGGATCTTTTTTTTTTTGAATGCTGTACATAAAAATTAATTTAAAAAATATACAAGTATTAATAATAATAAAAATAAAAAAATAATTAACATTACTATAATGATAAAACATTAACCATATTGCTGGGGAGGTTGGTTGTTATTATTAATAATTTTTATTAGGTGTCAAATTGTGTTTTTAATTTCATGTTATTTATTCTTTCTTTCTTTTGCTTGTTTTAATAATTAATTATGGGGTAGGTAGGTAATTTATAAAAAAAATTAGTTCTTTGGCGATATTATTAAGCCTCCGATTTATATATTTTCTTTTGCAAAAAAATCATATAAATATTATTTAATAAAAAAAAACAAATGTTATATTACAAGAGAAAACAAATGGGGGTTTTGTTGTGAGTTATAAAAATATGGTAGAAAGAAAGATTAAGAGTTGTTTGGGAGGGAGCTAGGAAAAGGTTGTGCGACAGCATGATTGAAGGTCATGCCAAATAAATAAACCTTTTTTTTTTTGAATTTAAATTAAAGAATCAAAATATAACCAGCAATTCAATTAATTTACACAAAATAAAAGTAGCCATAAAAATTATGTTAATTAGTTAAATTAGAATTAGCTTCCTTTGAAGGCAACAAGGTAGATATTTTTTTGATATATTCTTGGATTTGATAATGATTTCATCTATATTTTGTTTTTTTTTTCTTTTGTCTATACAAAGTATATATTAAACTTAATTATTAATAAAAAATATATGTGTGAAAAAATTTAACTAAGATTTTGATAAGTTTGTTTGTTTTTTTTTTGTGTTTTTTTTTTTTAGTTTTAGTTTAGTTTTATGAAGTACTAGTGTCTAGTGATTGCTGTGGAACAAAGTACACTTTATGTGTCGATAGGTGTTGCTTGGTTGGCATAAGGCACTCTATGGTGAATTGTTTTAACCTTTGATTTTGTTTTGTTGTACGTAATTAATGGGTACGAAGAAAAAAACTCCAAAAATGAAATTACAAAATATTGTGAATGCTACATTTTAAATTATAAATATTTATTATATAAAAAAATAATTAGGGGATAGTGCTGCTTATTTAAAAATTAAATTATTAACTAAATGTCTAAAAATAGAATTAATTGCACACAAACTTATAAAGACAAAAAAGAATGGTGGGGGTCAAATAGTGGGGATCCTAAATATCTAGGATTACCGTGGTTTTTTATTGAAATATATTGTCAATTTCACTTGCAGATCCGTATAAAGAAAATTCGAAATTTTCAAAAAATGAAAAAAAAAAATAAAAGAAAAACTCGAAAAACATTTAAAATTAAAACAAAAAAAAAACTTTGCCAGGAGTTTCTAAGGAAACTCCACAACATCATAACAGTAGAACTGAATTTTTCAAAGAATAAAAATAAAAATTATAACAGAAAAAGGGAGGTAAAATAAAATTAATTAAAAAAAAAATATAACAAAAAATTTTTGAAATTTTTCCCAGAAAAATTACTTTTTTCAAAGTTTCTTTTACAAAGAAATCTTTTAACCGGGGGGTTGTTTGTTGTGTTTCTTTCTTTAATTATATTTAATGGAAATTAAGAATCCTATAAAAATTACTTTACATTGTTTTGTTTAAGAAGCGTTCATTTTTTGATTTATTTCGTTCTTTTTTTTTTTTTTTGGAATATTTTGGAAGCCTTTTTCTTGTGTTTTGTAAATAGAATTCCTTTGAAAAACGATTTGTGTTCTCCCAACACAAACTTTAAAAGCTAAATATTTAAATATTTTTGTTTTTTTTTTTTTTAAATTATATTACAAAGTTATAACGTCTGAGTCCCAGCCTAACAATATTTGGGGGGAGAATAATAATAGTTTAAATTAAATAAAAGGGTATTTTTTGCTAATATTCCTTGTTAAAGAAATGAAAACTTAAAGAGGGGTAGGTGGTGGGGGTGGGGTTTTACTATTTTCATAAAAAGCCAAAACCTTTGCTTAATAATTTATACACTTAAACCATATACTAATATTAGTACACAATGCTAATTCATTGCGCCACCGCTGCGGCTGCTGCTGTGGCTGCGGTTGGAGTGGGCGTTGGTGTTGGCGTCGATGTTGCCATGGCTCCCGGTGGTGAGCTTACCGATGAAGATGACGCCGATGATGACAAGCCTCCTGCTGGTGTTGATGTATTCAATGACAAACCAGAGCCGCTCATAACGCCAGCCATGCTCACACTACCACCGCCCATACCGCCTACACCCATTACACCTCCTCCCATACCACTACCCCCACCAGTTGACGATTGATTTGATGTCTGTGCATTCAAATCAGGTGGAGTTGGTGTCGAAGATGCGCTCACATTCTGTGAACCCGATGCCGACATTTGTCCTGGCATTGGCAATGGGTTGCCCGATGCCGCCGCTGCCAATGCTGATGTGGGATTTTCAATTTTATGTATGATTTTAACATGCGCCGTCATATTATCCTTTCGTGTAAACTCTTTGAAACAGAACGGACAGGGATAGACCTTGACATTACGCTTGTGGGAGGTGACATAGTGACGACAGAAATTGCTTATGTGTGTATAGACGCGAGAGCAAACCTTACAACGGTACGTGTGTTCACCCTCTTTGGTACAGTAATCACGTACGGAGCCCTCACCTTCGCCCTCAATAATGGAATTACACGATGTATTCAATTTGGTTTTGGGTGGTGGTGAATTGACATTTAGACTGCCGGTGCTGGCGCTGAGGGCAGATTTCATTTTTTGCAATTGGGCGGAATTCATGTAGTTGCTGGATAACATTTCCATGTAGTCAGTTGTGTTGGCAAAGGGCTAAAATGGAAGAACGGTTAAATTAATACAGATTTCTTTGGAAATAAAAAAGTTTTGAAAATGGATTTTTTTTTTTAATTTTCAAAAAAGCAAACTCGAATTTTGAAATACATGGAAGCAATTTAAATAAATTCATAAATGCTTAAAAAAAGGAATAAAATGTTGACATTAAAATTTGGTGTGGTGAAATTTTAAAAATATTTACCAAAAATTGTTGAAACTGTGAAAATTGCTAAATATTTTCATTTTCAAATATACATTTTTTTTTAATTTTTTTAGAAAATTTTCAACTTTAGACACTTTTTTATCGAAATAATTTGAAAACCGATTGAAATTTTTGAGATTTAAAATTTTAAAAATAATCTGGAGTTGGAATTATTGTTATTACTGAATATTCTATGTTTTTAGGCAAAAATATGAATGTGGTGAGTTTTGAAAGAATTTCACCACACCTTAAATTTGCATGAAACGTATGCCTTTTTATGCATATTATCAAACAAATAACGATTTTGAATCAAGAACCAGTTTTATTGCTCTTTTTGGCTTTATTTCATTGTTTTATCGAAATTAATTTGTAAATCGATGGAAATTTTTGAGATTTAAAATTTTAAATATAATCTGGAGCTGGAATTTATTGTTATTATTGAATTTTCTACGTTTTTATGCAAAAATATGGGTGTGGTGAGTTTTGAAAGAAATTCACCACACCTTAAATTTGCATGAAATGTATGCCTTTTTATGCATATTATCAAACAAATAACGATTTTCAATCAAGAATAAAAAAGTAGCTATTACCAAAGACCAGTTTTAATGTCTTTTTATCGAAATTAATTTGAAAATCGATTGCAAATTTTGAGATTTCAAATCTGAAAAATAATATAGACCTGGAATTACTGTTATTATGGAATTTTCTATGTTTTTAGGCAAAAATATGAGTGTGGTGAGTTTTGACAGAAATTCACCAGACCTTAAATTTGCATGAAATGTATGCCTTTTTATGCATATTATCAAACAAATAACGATTTTAAATCAAGAAGTCGAGTTGTAACACTCTTTTTGCTTTTTTGAAAAATAAAAGAAAAACCTCTTCGAAAAATCCCAAGATGCTTACCTTAATATCAACACCATTTTGCTTCAACTTAACACGTTTATTAATCTTTGGCTTGACAGGCTTGACAAGTGGCGCCAACTTCGGTATGCTAACCATTGAATTCAACAATTGACCCGTCATACCGCCCGCACCCACAACATTGGCCATTTGCAGGCCTCCGGCCGCTGCAGCAGCTGCCTCGGCCAATTGTTGTTGATGTTTCTGTTGGGCGGCTATGAGAAATGCTTGTTGGCGGGCCTGTTGCGACATATTGGAGAGTTGATTTTCTTGTGAATCGTTGGCATTTGGATCGTATTTGAATTCAACCGGTTCATCGTATTCATCCAACATTAATTGTGGTTCCATATAAGATGTGTCCATGGGTTCATCGTTATCACTGTCATTGCCATCTAAAATGGTATGAAAAAACAACAATCGCTTAAATGAATAATGTTCTTTTGAACTGGGGGGTATAGTGGGGGGTAGTGTGGTGAAAATGTACAATGCATTGTTTTAAGAAAAAGAATAAAAAAACAGAAAATATTTTCTTACAAATCACACGAAAAAAGAAAGTTTTGCAGTGTTATTCAAATTTCTTTGGTCTAATGGTTTAATTTACATTTTGAGTGTTATGCATCATACCAACAAATGTAAAAAATAATACTGCATGTAAAAATTTTGTGATCGGAAAAGCTATAGGGATTTCAAGCCATTTCTGTTTTATGTACGGCGTTATTGTTTTGTTGTTAAGAGTTTTATTTTTTTGTCTTAAATTCTAGGAAATATAAATTTTGTTTGATAATGTTTTTTTTTTATTTAAAAACGAAATTTTGGGTTTAAAGATTTTCGAAAATGGTAATTATTTTTTATGTTTTACAAAACGTTTATACGATTTTTACGTCGGCCATAAATCCCTAAAAGCTCATACCGATTTATTTTCATGATTTAGTTTAGGTTCTTTTTTTTTTGGTTCAACAAAGCTTTCTATTTTTCGTTATTTGCAAATTGTTCTCTTTCTAAAACGGCATCATACGTTTCCAAAATTTCATTTCGAACTCACCTGCGCCGACGTTAAACGTATGTCTTTTATTTACCGAAATTCGAAAATCACTAAACACTTTTTCTTTTTTTGATATTCCTTTTCACACTTCACTTTAAAAATCATAACTCAACACAGTTTTGAACTGTTTTAAATAAATAAAGAAAAATCCCTTTTTAGCTTTTCCGATTCATTGTTTTGAGGCGTATTATCATTGGTCTATTCTAACAACGCGTTAATTACAAAGAAATAACTTAGGTTAGTTTTTGTTTTATGGTGCATCGTTTCTTCTTTGCCAGAGGAAAGATAAATGATTTATGTTTTGATTTGGTTTTTTTTTTTTCAATGAATTGTGAATTATGTACAAGAGGAGACTTTTTTCGATTTTTGTCTTTTTTTTACATTATTTTACAATTGAAAAAAAATGCAGGTGATTGATTGTATTGTATGAAAATTGTTTGAATTTTTGATGCCCAACGAGTACAGAAGAAAAATAAAAAAAGGCTTACCGGATGTGCTGTTATCGTCGTGATGTTGATGGCGTTCCTGGTTCATTTGAGCTTTCTTTGAGGGTGAGAGTGAGTCGTGACTTTCCTGTAAAATAAGAAAAAGGATAATCAGTAAATATTTCACTTCTCAAAAAGGCAACTTAAACACCTGAAAATATTATTTTTTCCAAGCATTTTGAGATAAAAAAAACATTTTTTTCTTTGAATTTTTTTGATCTATTTAAGTTTTTATGCTTTTTTACCAAAAATTCTAATTTTTGAAATATTTATCTCAGTGTGGTGAGTTTTGAAGAAATTTACCACACCTTAATTTTTGTGGAAATGTATATTTTAACTGAAATACTATCCAATAAGGTTGTTTATTTGAATTTTAAAAAATTTCCAAGGCGTTTTGGGTTCAATATTTTCCGCAAAAATTGTGGAAAAATAAAATCCTATTTTTTATGCCAATAATTAAGAAATCTAAAATTTTCCGCATAATTTTCAAGGTGTGGTGAATTTTGTTGGAAATTCACCACACCTCGATTTTTGCTGATATGCCAAGAAAAATGAAAATTTTCCATAAAAATATAAATTTAAAATTTTTTCAAAACTTCTAAATGCTTTTTTAAAACATTTTTCCTAAAAAATTTAATGTTTTTTGGGAGATTTTTTTTTTTTTGGAAATTCACCACACCTTGATTTTTCCTAATATGAAAAGAAAAATGAAAATTTTCAATAAAAAAATTAATTTGATTTTTTTTCAAAACTTCTAAATGCTTTTTTGAAACATTTTTCATAAATAATTCAATGTTTTTTGGGAAAGTTAACTCCTTTTCTTAAATCATAATTTTCAATGTATTTTTACTCACATTCAAATCATCATTATTTCCCGAATCCCTTTGATTATCATCGGAACCATCTTCATTGCCGGAATACGAATCATTGCACATTTTACCATCACCCATTTCCCCATCGTAATCATCATAGTCAGCATCATCACTGCCCGACAAACGACGTGGCCTGCCACGTTTACGTTTGGGCATTGAAGCCAAGGCCAGCGTTAGCAGGGATTCTTGGTGCTGCTGCTGTTGCTGTTGTCTTGGCTTTTGTTGACCCGTTACACTAGCAATTTGTGGCGTTGACTGATGATCATTGCCCATATCACGTTTACGTTTGGGCATCGATGCCAATGCCAGTGTGAGTAACGACTCTTGCTGGCTCTTCTGTTGGCCGGCAGCCGTTGTTAGGGGTGAACCATTATTTTGGTGGGTTTTATGACGCTGTTGTTGTTGCTGCTGCTGTTGGCCTTGCACCACATACGGTTGGATGCGTTGCAACTGTGGTGGCTGGGGTGTGGGTTCATTGCTTGAGGGTTTATCATCATTGACTTCGGTTAGACCCTTAATGCGTAGACTTTCGGCTACACGCAAAAATGCTGTTAAACGTTCCTGATCGACAGAAACTTCACCGCGATACATGAAATCTAGGAGGGATTTCATATCGGCATAAGGGACATCTTTTAATATGACAATGGGATGTTTTTCCGGATGGTTTATGAACAGGGCATTGAAGTAGGGACTGCAGGCGGAGAGAACCATCTGAAAGGCAAAGGAGGGAGATTAGTTTTGGAACAGATTTTCAAATGTTAATGCCTTCTCTTACCTTGTGTGCTTTGAGATATTGACCGTCCACGGCCAATGTAACATCCGTAAATGTTTCGGCATGTAGCAGCTGATCGAAAACGGATAGTAAATTACTTTGGTGGTTATTCCATCGCAAACAAAATCTCTGCGAAGCCATCTTCATTTGGAAGCCGTTGTGTTTATCAAAATATGATTTTGATAAAGCCGAAAATTGTAGAAAAGAATAAAATTTTGGGAGGAAAGGATTTTCAAAATCCTTCGGTTTTTTGTGTGTTTTTATATTTCAGGAAAATAATTGTTTGGGTTTCTTCTTGAGGATATTTTTGTGTGTGTGTTTTGAAATGTCAAAACTCCTTGTTTAAAACATTTTAATCAGAAAAGAGCTCCTGTAATGAAAGAGAGAAAGAGAAAATTAGAATTAGTTTCAGAAGTGGATAAGATGTATTATGGTATTTGGAGGAAAATTTTCTATTGCCATCCAAAACACAGAAATCTTCCTTCCTTGAATGCGTTGGCTAAATTTAGCCTGTATTGCCTAATCGTGGCATATTTGGTGGTGGTGGCGGCGGTATTGCTATAAATTATAAAGACATCTTCTCCTCCTCTTGAACCCCTCCTCCCCCACCATGCTCCTGGTATAAAAATAAAAACGTAAAGGCACAACAACAGCAGCAAAAAAATCTTAAAAACAGCAACAACAACAACAGCAAATATGTGAAATTTCTGTTAGTCTTAAATCTACTTTCACGGATACTTTTCTTTTGCCGAATGCCTCGAGGAGATGATAAACAAAACGAATTTTCTTCTTGATTCTGATGAAACATTCGAATGGTTTTTCTTGCTTTTTTTGTTTTTGTTCGGTTTCTGCTACCCCCCAATGGCTAAAAATAGACAAAGGATCTTCGTGATTTGTACAAACAAAAATTGAAAATCATTTTAGCTTTTAAGAAATGGAGAGAACAAATAAGAGAGAAAAAGTGAGAGAGTGGAGAATGGGGTCGCAGCAGCAGCAGCACAACAGCAATTGATGACGATGGAAACATAAAAACCGCACATTATTTTTTTTTAATTTTGATTTCTCACCATCAGAAAATAAAGTAGCGACAATCGTGTCTAGGAGCAACACAGCAGCGCTAAGGAATCTCTAGCCATAAAAAAAACACAGAAACACGAAAAGTAAATAATTTCATTGGACCGCAAAAAAAAAGCAGCGCTCAACAGGAGAATGAATGCTGTGTAATTTTCCTATACACAAACACACACAAAAGCACTACAACAAAACCACAATGGGTATAGGGAATGGAAGAAGAATATGGATAATAAATGGGGAAAAAGAAGGAAGTAATGTCGGCATGTTAAAAGTCAATGGAACTATGAGTTGAAGAGGGGTAGTAGACAGGATAAACAAAACGAAATCAGAGAACTGAATATCTTTTCATAAAGAATAATAATGAAGAGAATTAAAAAATACTATAGAGTAATAAAAACTTTGAGAGGTTTATTAGCTTAGATGCCACTTCTAAGAAATGATTAGAATTAGCTGGCTAACCACAATAGAAGAAATATTTGTAGATCTTAATCACAAAAAAATTGGGAAACAAAAAGTTTTTTAAATATGTTTTTTTTCAGTTGCGTAATTAAATTAAAAAAGAATTTAGGCTTTGACAAAAAAAATTTTTTAGAGCAATTTTGAAAATTAAAAATTCCAAAATTGTGGGATTTTAAAGACATTATAATTTTTTAATATTTTTTGTATGATCTTTAAAATTTTGGCAATTTTTTGCCACAATTATTTGAGTGTGGTGAGTTTTGGAGAAATTCACCACACCTTAAATTTAATGGAAATGAAACAATTGGTTTGTGATTTATAAGAAAAAAAAAAAATAAAATTTTGAAAAATATTGACTCAACAAAATTTTCTAAAGAGGTATTTGCATAAAATGCTTGAAAATTTTAAAAAAAATATTTTTCAGTTAATCACCAAGAAAAAATAAAACTTTCTATGCATTTTGCAAAGTGTGGTGAGTTTTTCAAGAAATTCACCACACTGCCAATTTTGCATAAAAATAACTAAAACTCAAAGAAAAACGATTTTTTAATGAAAATTATTAAAAAAAAAACTATGTGGGTGTATTTTGTTTCCCAAAAGTACAAGTTTTTATACAAATCTTAAATTGTTATTTTTTACATATCCTCGAAATCAATTGATGATTAATAAAAAAACAACTTTCAAACGTTGTCCATGAAACAACAACAAACATTTCAAAAAAAGAGGCATTGCCTTGTAATAATGTAACAAGTGTTTGTTGTTACTTGTGCCATTTGAGCAGAGCAAAAAAACAAAAAAAAAGGAATTCCGAAAAAAAGAACGTAAAATAAAACAACCGGTTTTCCTTAATAATGGAAAACCAACACGAAACACATAAATGCTTAATTTACAAAATTATTTTTTTTTCGTATTTATTCATAAGGGTTACAACAGGAAACCAACTATGTGTATATGGAGGCAAGGAGAATACAAACAACAGTAACAACTAAAACCTCAAACAAAAACAAAATTAATTTCAAAACGGAAATAGATAAAAGCAACGAGATAATGACCAAACACAACATTTACGACGACGGCGACGAGAACAGCGGCCGACAATAATAACAAAGGAGAAAAAAACATTAAAATGATCAACAAGCCAGGCAGGCAGCCAGGCAAAGAGAAACGACGAATGGAAAACCAAACAACACACCCATCCTAAATATGAAAAAAAAAAAGAAAAACATTTCAAACAGATCACGTCACAGATGACTGCATCCCACCAAACAAACGAACACACCATCGCCATGGCATAAATAACAACAATCAAATACTGTTAGATATACTCAAAAGGTCTCTATTCCCCCACCCTCCTCTCTCCACCTCTTAATATCCCAATTCTCTCCAACACACTTCACAAATGTCCTCGCCAGAAAATACTGTGAAACGCAATAACGACGAACGCATTGACAAAGCTGGGTTTTTATTTTACCCCCACTTGAATGTGGACACACACACAGGGACACCAATACATTGGACTTTTGATCGTGTGTATAACACAGCCACAAAGTCAAGGGGTGGGGAGGGAAAGATCAAGCCCTGCATAGATTGTGGTTTCAAAGAAAAAAACACAAAATTATGGGGGGAAACACATACCCTCTCACACTCAATTGCCACCCAACAAAAGTCAAAAAGCTTGGCTCAAGGGAGACAGGCTGATAGACAGACAGAGAGAGAGAGGAAGGTAGTAAAACATAAAGGGCTTCGATTTCCATTGTGGGGTACAGCCAAAAACAAAGTTGTTAAATAACATTAGATGAAGCAACAACAACAAAAGAGCAGTCATGTAAAACCCGTGTATGGGGGAAGGAGATCACTTAGTGTATGTGTAGGCATCCAAGTGTATGTGTGTGGTGGTATGCCTGCTGTATGTATGCCAAGTCAAACGGGGACGATTTTGCCTGACGGCGACAGCACCATGCATGCCTTTACTGTACATGAGAAAAGAAAAAAACACACAACGAAAATAAAAAAAACAATCATTACGAAACTCAAAAAGGCGTAACATTGTCCATGCTCCACGTTTCATACACAAACACACATGCCTTCACACATATGTATATGAGAGGCCCCCACAGGAAAACTGAGAAAACGAAAAGCAAACGTGAAGGAATCAATAAGAAATTAAGCAACTGTTGTCGTGAGAAGGCGAGAGAGAAATATACTCTCGGCGACCAGAGGAAAATAATTAATGTAAAAGAGTAAACTTATGTGTGAGAGAGCATGAGAGAAGGAGAGAGACACACACGTATCAAAACAAAATACCGTTGTTGTAAAATATGGAATCAGAAATTCTATGAATTAATTTACAACAGCATATTGTTGTGGTTGATTTCTTAATGAAATTTTCTGAGATGGACAGACATAACTACTCTTGTAAACCACGTAACGACGTGTGGGTAGTTGAGAAGGTTCTCTTGATAAACATAATTAAAGAGAATTCTCTTGAAAACCTACCTCCAATATGAATTAAAGGGAATGGAAGAAGAGATTACAATCAGAATAGGTATCCATAAAAAACCCCATTGTAATGCTAATGGACATTAGAATTTTGGGAAATAAGAATTATAATGGGATAGGAGGCTAGGATGGCGAGAAAGGTGAAATGGTAATTTTTTTGAAGAAGTGGCACGAAGATACCGAAAAAATCAAAATGAAAATAAAATTAAGAAAATAGATTTAAATTAAAGGTCAAGTTATATCTCTAAAATAAATACATCAACGAAAAATGGAAATTACCTATGAACTATCCAAAATGAAAAATAATTAAAATGTAAAGTTTGAAGAACTTTAAGAGAAATAAGATTAATGCTCTTCTCCCGAACCTGCAAGAATCTAATAGTGTTGAATTTTTTTCCGATATCATAAAGGAAGAAAGGAAATAGAATTCACCACACCTCAAATTTTGTGCAAATGAAATCAGATGTTTGCGTCCTTTATTAAATAAATACAAAATAAAAATTATTAAAATTTTCAACTGTTACCGAATAAATGTTGAAGAAACAATTTCGGAAAACAAGGAAATACTATTTTATATTATATATTGGATGATAAAAGCAAACATTTCTATAAATGTTTTGTGGTGTGGTGGGTTTTGCAAGAAATTCACCTCTGCCGGATTTTTGCAGAAAATTAAATATTAAGTAGCTGTGAACATTGTTTACCTAAAAACTAGGCGAAAGGTCTTATATATCGATTTGTAGGGGTCTACTATGTGTCAAAAAAATGAAATAAAATTAAAAAAGATAATTTTATGACTCAATTTTACAAAAATTATTTTTTTTCGGTATAAGTATTTGTTTTTAAACATTTCATGGCTTGAGATAAATAAACATTTACTTGAGAATCACACTTTGTTAAACATTTTACATTTTCTTTTGAAGCATTTGATTTTATTTTAATAAAAAAAATCTTTTAAAAATTAATTTTTTTAACAACAATTTTATATAAAAATCAATAAAAATATTTTTTTTTTTTAACAAAATTAATTTATTTTTTCGTAAAATGATTCATTTTTCTAAATTTTTGATTAGAATTATTCCACTCAAAACAAATATTTTATGAATTCATAAAGAATATTTTTTGAAAAAAGAATCTCAGTCTAACCACTGCACCCCATTATTTAACATCACATTTTTAATATGTGGTGTTCTTGATCTATTTACCAATGTTTTATTTTTTTTTTTTTTTTAACCTAAAAAAGTGTATTTTTTAACTCAAAACTTTGTTTCTTTTAATATTAACAAAATGTTACCAATTTTTTTTTATTGTATTATTTTTTAATTTTTGTAATATTAAAAAATCTAATTGCTCCAGTTTTTCAAGAAATAATTTGTATTAAAAATTCTCTTTTTAGTACCCTTCAAACTCCAAACATTTCTTCCAAATTCCTAACGAATAGTTTTCCCAAACAAAATCTAAATCTAACCACTCCACCCCATTATTTTACACCACATGTTTTAAATTGATTTCACCTAATTTTGTTTCTTCTTCTTTGACACTAATCAATCATTTTTCTACTTTCCCTCCCCCTCTGCTATTGATGGCGTTTTTTAAAACTCTCTGTTGCATGCCGTATTTCGGCTGCTCTCAGAGTAAATATGGGGTCTCTCGCTCTCTCTGTATGATACTTTCTTACTAGAGAAATTTAATGTAATAGGGGTAGGGGAGGCATATTCACTTGTTGCTGCTGTTTTACAAGAATTTTTCTTACAAAAAAAATTGTTGTTGTTGTACTCACGCATTTGTTAATAAAAAAGCAAATTGAATTTGTAATGAATGAATGAATTGTAGAGGGGAAAGGGGAGAATATTTTTTGGAAATGCACCACACGGCACACACACACATACACAACACTACTTCTCAATGAGTTTTCTTTCTGAGGGCTCACGGGATTTTTTTTTTTAATATTTTCCGTTTTCGTTTTGTAATTTTTTTTCAAGTCTAAATGTTATGCTTTCTATTGATAATAATTTAATTCTTTTTTCAGTTTTTCATAATTATTTTTTTTTTACAAAATTTTCTTTAGTTTTTAATTTATTTAGATCATATTTTTATAATTTTTGATATATTTCAACATATATTTTTCAAAATTATTTTATTTTCCGGTTGTTTCTTTATTTCAGTTTTATTTATGGATTCTAATTGTTTTATATTTTGTTAAATTCTTTTGTATTATTTTTTGTTTAATTTCTTAATGTTTTAATTTTTCCAATTTTCTGTACTTTTATTTTTTCTATTTTTTTTGGTTCTATTTTTTTTTTAATTTTTGGCAATTTTATATTTTTTCTAATTTTCAAGTCCCATTTTCCCTGTTTTTATTCTTTATTTCAAATTTATTTTTCATCGTATTATTATTATTCTTTTTATGATTTTTCTTCTTAAAGTCCTCTGCTTCAGTTCATTTTGCATAATTTGTTCTCAATTTATCTTTATTTTTTGTTGTTATACAGTTTTTATAACTTTTTTTTTAAAGTCCTCATGCTTTTGATAACAAAAATCCATTTTTTTATTTTCTTTTACTTCATTTTTGTTGGTTTTATGCATTTATCACATTTTTCCTGTGGTTTGTGTTTTGGTTGTTATTGTTTTTATTTTTTTATATATTTTATTTTCATTTTATTATAACTTTTTGTTTCTCAATTAAAAGCTTTTCTTTGAAAAAAATGCATTGCATTGCAAACACATGCCTGCACACACAAAAACAAACACTCACTAAACATGAACTATCAAAAAAAAAACAGCAATGTCCAAAACAATCGATTTATTGTTGTTGCATTTTCTTACTTTGTTTTGTAATAAATTGTTTCTTATATCTTCTTCTTGTTGTTGTTATTATTTCTATTTTATTTTTTCTTTTGTTACTGTGTAAGGTGGACACCTCCTCTTCAACTCTACTCCGAACACACACTCACACACGACGACGGACGTTTGGGATGTAAGAGTTAGAGATATGATAGATGGCCACAATACGATACGAACACGACACACGTCCTTACAGTCACGAGTAACAACAGCGAATGGTACGTAATGCGTAAAGAAAAAATTATTTTAAACTCAGTGTGAGTGAGTGGTGGTAAGTCCTGAGAGGAGGCGAACGACGAAACAATCAACCAGCCAGTGGCAACGTTGCCAAGCAACGAGGCTTTCACACACAACAACGTTGACGGCGACAGAACAGCAGAGCTGTGAACAGAGGCAGCACAGCACTCAGCATAGCCTTACGGTGGTTAATCATATGGATGATGGTGGAGACATTCAATGAGCCAATAACAACACAGAGAGGGTGTGCGTGAGAGAGAGAGAAAGAAAAAAAGCAATCTCTGTGTGTTGTTACATTGCCATTCAATGGGGGAAAAATAAACAACCACGAATGGTTTGTTGTGTTGGGCTTTTGGAAAAAAAAATAATCAAGTGCCCCTCTTAGAGAGTGAGAGAGAATCGCTGCTGAGAGTAGCAGTGTTGTTATTTCCCATTCAATTTATAATTTTTCTCTTTCTCTGGTATTGCTGTGTGGTGGCATTTTAATTTAGTGGGGCCATCCTCGGTTTTAGATCACTTAATGACGTTACAGTTTTTTCGATATTTTTACTTCTAACTGGAGGCGAGTTGGACTAGATTTTCAGTTTTATTTTTGTCATTTAATTTCACTTTAAATTATTTAAAAAAATATTTTTAAATTAAATATTTTTTCCATGGCCTTACTTTTTTTCAATTTTTTCCAGTACTCCTGGTTGTATTTTTTATGAACAGCTATCCATGGAATGGAAAAATTGTTGGTTTTTTTTCACAAACACTTGTTGTTTTTGCACTTAATTTGTTTTTGTAAAATATTGTTGTTGTTTTTAATTTATTTTTGAAACGAGGAATTCTTTAGTTTTTCTAGCGAATAAATGTCGTAGGTATTTAATTTTTTTATAAGTTTTGGTTTCTTTTTCTTGTTCTTCTGTTTTAGGGATCCGAACGAACTCTCCTTTACGACACCACTACCATGACTGACAGTCCTCTTTGCTCCTCATTGATCGCTTAGGCCAAACACAAATCCGTTGAGCTGTGTAGTAGTTCTTCGCGTTTTTTGTGTGTTGCCTTCGTCGTCGCAGTCACTTTTGTCGTGTGGATGTCGTTGCCATCGGCAACCAAACAACAGCAATAACCTATTGTTGTTGCTGTTATTCCTACTAAGAGTTAGACAGGCAGCAGCGGCAGCGAGCAGCCCCCAAATAGCCAGGCAAGGCAGGCACACAACCACCTAATATCGTTTACTTGTTGTTGTTGGCGTCGCTGCCACGTTTGTCCTCTTCTACGGCCAACATTGGCTCCTAATAAGTGTAAATCCTCTTAAAAACAACCACCACCACCGCCAGCACCACCATCATAATTATGGCAGCCAACCGTCATCATCATCGTGGTCTGCCTTTACCATCATTATCCAAGTCATTCCGCCACTCACTCAGTTAGACTTTGACAGTCATTTTACTTTATTTTTGTATTATTATTGTTTTTTTTTTGTTTTTGTTATTTCTATATGGGGATATTCCAATTTCACATAATAATACTATGTGATTTCTAATACACAAAATGTCACTGTTCATGTAGTGGTGTGGTATTTATTGGGGGTTTTTGTTGTTGTTGTTCTCCGTCATGTGGTCTCCTTTTCCTTTTACGTAAAGCCAGCAGAAAAAAAAAAAACAAAAATGAAGCACACACACACGCATCAATCTCTCCCTCTCCCTGAAAAAACGAACTAGGATGAGAGAGAAAACAAACAAATTAAGAAGAAACTCTCCACTTAAGCTCTCGGCCGCCAACCCAACAAAAAAACGATCAGTTCTTATTGGTTTGCCAGTGTGGAGAGCAAGGCATTTGAAACGTGTGAATGCGAGAGAGAGGGAGTAAATGAGAATTACGGTTATTGGGGTTAATTCTCAGTGCTCACACAGGTTACACAGGGAAATCTAATTAGGGTTTCAACTAAGTGAAACAAACTTAGACTTAGGGTCTTTAAACTAAAATTAATGATGGGAATTTTTTCAGTTTTTTTTCTTAATTATTTAAGTTTAACTGTAAACAACATTAGAAAGAAATGTAAGCGTAATTATCGAAAAATCGTAAACAAAATACAAATTTCATTATGAAATAGGGATTCAATTATGGATTTCTGTGAATCTCTTAAAAAGAGGCTAAATGGATATTTCACAACGTGAAAAGTTAAAAGGTCCAAAACAGTATAAAGATCTCCCAAAATTTCGTGAGTAGTTGGGGAAATAGGTCTGTCTGTGCGACGTAGGCAGGTTTCGAAAAAGTTTCAAAATATGTGAGGGCATGTCAAATTTGTCATTCCGTTTGCAACACCTTGAAATATTCGTCGGAGACCCCAAAAAGTATATATCTGCCTGATCAGAATAAAATTATAAGGCGATTTAACATTTTCCGCCAGTTTATCTCCCTTTAGGAATCACGATAGAGTCCACATTAATTAATTTAGAGCTTTGAAATTTGGCACAAAGGCTTATATTATAAGCAGGCAGATCGGTATTTAAAATGGGCTATATTGCTCCACGTTTTGGTATAATTTCCATATAACGATACTTCCCGATTTTCTGTATTTTGAAGTGGTTTGGCACAATTTCCAACCAAATTAGCTAAAACTTTACATTTGCGGTGCTTGGTAGGTGTTCCCTTCCTTCGTTACCTCTAGATTTTCGATATTATGAAGGTTTCTGCTACAATTTTCAATCAAATAAGCCGAAACTCCACCTTTGGGGTTCTTGGTAGGTCTGTTTTCTTGCTACCAAAAATATTCGCTGCAGGTCCACAAATTGGCATAGCCCCCCTATAACGTTACCTCTAGATTTTCGGTATTTTGAAGGTTTCTGCCACATTTTCCGACCAAATGAGATGATACTTAACATTTGGGGTTCTTGGTAGGTCTGTTCTCCCCCTACAAAAATATTCGCGGCAGGTCCATAAATTGGTATAGCCTCCATATAACGTACTACCCGATTTTCGGCATTTTGAAGATTTCTGCAACAATTTCCAACCAAATTAGCTGCAACTTATATTTGGGTTTCTTGGCAGGTCTGTTCCCTTCCTTTAGAAAATATTTGCTACAGGTCCACTAATTTTCGTAGGCCCCATATAACTATACCTCTAGATTTTCGATATAATGAAGGTTTCTGCCACATTTTTCAATCAAATCAGCTGAAACTTCACATTTAAGGGGTTCTTGGTAGGCCTGTTCTCTTCTGTATTTTGAAGGAAGGTCTTCTTTTTATAGAAGAGCAGAAGGTCGTCTCGTAGCAGACCACAGCTCTTCTCGAAGAGAAAACCGGAAGGTATTCTCATATAGAAGACCGAAAGGCCTTCCCAAACAGAAGACCATAAGGTCTCCTCATAAAATAAAATAAAAAGACTTGACTTATTCTTATAGAAGACCTGAAGGTGTTCTTCTGATAGAAGACCTGAAGGTCGTCTTCTCATAGAAGACCTGAAGGTCGTCTTCTCATAGAAGACCTGAAGGTCGTCTTCTCATAGAAGACCTGAAGGTCGTCTTCTCATAGAAGACCTGAAGGTTGTCTTCTCATAGAAGACCAGAACGTGGTCTTCTACTAGAAGAACAGAAGGAGATCTTCCCATATAAGGCCAGAAATAGGTGTTCTCATAGAAGACCAGAAGGTCATCTTTTCATAGAAGACCAAAAGGTATTCTTCTCATAGAAGCCCAGAAGAAGGTCTTCTCATAGAAGGCCCAGAAGAAGGTCTTCTCATAGAAGACCAGAAGGTCTTCTGTTCATAGAAAACCAGAAGGAGCTATTCTCACAGAAGACCATAAGGTCTTCTTAACATAGAAGACCAGAAGGTCTTCTTCTCATAGAAAGCGAGAAGGTCTACTTCTCACAGAAGACCATAAGGTCTTCTTAACATAGACGACCATAAGGTCTTCTTCTCATACAAGACCAGAACCCCTTCTTCTCATAGAAGATCAAAGGACCTTCTTCTCGTAAAAGAGCAGAAGGTCTTCTTCGCATACAAGACCTGAAGTTTGTCTTCTCATAGAAGATCTGAAGGTTTTCTTCTCATAGAACCAGAACTTGGTCTTCTAATAGAAGACCAGAAGAAGATCTACTGGAAAATGTTGAAGAATTTTCAAATTTTTCAGGTTGCAATAATCCTATCAGTGGTGCTTAATTAGGAAGATATATGCTGAGAGCACCGATGTAATCATCACACCCACCTACTTTCGAAATGTTCAACTTTTTAAATATTTTTTTCAATTTTTTACTATTTTTGGTCAATACGCCGTGAGATACACATAACTCGAGTAAGACTCCAACAGATAGTCCTACTACCACATTGTCTACAAATAAATCATCTAACATAATTCCTCACAGTTATCCCCATTTTCTCAGACTTCATTAGCATCTCTATTCGAGGCTCTATTAAAAAAATAACCATTGAGCAATTAAGTTTCTCTCTCCACTCACAAATATTTACAACTCTCCACTCTTTCATAGGCAAAAGTTTTATAGGAAAACAATAGGGCCGTTATGTTCATTTTTTCTCCAGCTCCCACTCTCTCTCTCTCTTCTAACACCATACTCTTGCTCCCTCTTGTTTAGAATTAATGACCTGTTTGTTAGTTTCCTATTTCCTTTACAATAGAATTTAGAAAGCTAGAAAACAGATTTGAAATTTGTTTTTGTTGTTGTTTTTTTTTTTTTTTTTTTTTTTTGGTAAAGGGTTAGTCGTGATGACGTGGAGGAAATTTTGATGAAATGGCAAAAAGAAAAAAACTCCCCTTTTGAAACAATGGGACAAGGAAAGAGCTTTGTTTTGAGAGTTAGGAGTGTTGTTTTGTTAGGGGGGTTGCAAAGAATAAGTGGTTCAAGTTTTGATGAAATCAGGGTTGTTTCTTTTTTATGTGAGGAAGGGGTGAAGGAGGAGTTTTGAAAACATTTTTTCGTTGGTTAATTTCCAGGCCACTCCTTTTTTGGGTATTTCTTGTGCCCAAAAAAAGCCAAGAACATTGTTTTTTTTTTTTTAATTGTGAAACCCACCTTATTTTTTCCAAGTCAAGTCTGCCTACATATGTATCTATGTACCTACCAACCTCTTCCTCTATTTTTATGCTTGTTTCAAATTCCACTTCTAATGAATAGCTGGCTGGCTGGCTGTCTGCTATACATTGTTGTTGTTGCTTTTTTTCCTACTCACATTGCCTTGTTTGTCTATTTTCATTATCCACATCATTATAGCTAGCCAAGTATCCCCACCTTAGAATTTTATGGACAAAATACAGCAACACCA